ATGTTGTTATAAAAATAACTGATAAATTAAAATTCTTCAACATTCTTTTAAACATTTTGAAACATTATAAATTTACATAAAAGTTTTATGCAGGATCAGATGAAACTGGTAAACAACTGTCTGAATGAGTTTTTTGTTTTTTTCTGACAGGCTATCAGTCTTATAATCTGCTCTACATGAATGACTTCAATTTAATGCATGCGTCATCAAAAAAATAATAAAATATTTATCAAGTATGCATATATATATACCATATAATGAGGATATCTGGAAGCAAAAATACTGAAGGTGCTTTTTGGCAAGTTGCAAATCTTTGTCAACAACTTCGTCTTGGAGAAGCATCCATATAGCAGTTAATAAATGCATGAAATGGTCATAGTATACTTGATCTAAAACACCTTTTAGGCAAACAGGTCCAGAGAACAGCAAAAATTTCTGTATTCTGATGCTACAATAAAAAAAACTACATACTACAGCCAAGACCTACTACTTGAAATTAAAATGATACAATTAATCAATATTCCTACTATTAAACAAATCTTACAGACAAGTAAAAACATGAGTCACTTGAGAGGATAATCTTTAGCTGAATTTTAAGTATTTGTCTATAATCAAGTAATGAAAAATCGAAGTAACTATAGTTGTTATTTAGACTGACATATAACCGATATTAGGAAGTGCAAGTTATTTCAATATCATACTTTGTAAGATTCACTAATTACCTGCATGCATGTAATCCAAGCACATGCTGTTTATAATGTCAAATTCAGGAAGTGAGAAACCCCAGCTAAAACCTTTTACTCCCTTCTCTGCATACTAATTGTGTGAAGAAGAAAAAATATTATACTTTAGTCTGGACAATTAGTACATTGCTTAGACTTGTAAACTAATGATTATCAAATCTGAGATAAATATAAATACTTTATTGTATTGCCATTATAGCTATTCAATCTATTAAAGATATTCAACATGTTATGATGTTGTTTGTTGCTTCAAAGTAAAACATTTATTTCTGAAAACTTGTCATACTGTTATTTGGTCTTTCATTTTTTTATATCTGACAGTCATTTGATTAATATCCGGAAGAGTGTTATGTATTTGTTTTTTTTTCTACATTTGCTTGAGGTATAGGGGAGGGATGAGATCTCACAAAACTCGTTTAACCCCGCCGCATTTTTGCGCTTGTCAAATGTCAGGAGTCTCTGGCCTTTGTTAGTCTTGTATGATTTTTAATTTTAGTTCATTTATATGTTTTGGAGTTTAGTATGACGTCCATTATCACTGAACTAGTACACATTCCCCATTTCCATTCTCAATTTTATTTAGTTGATAAAAATGGTATTTCTACTTGACTTGTTTTGCCCAGTTTGTAAATTTTCTCTTGCAACCTGTGAATGGAGGACTGTTCCTTCATGGTTTCTTATTTCTCCAACTCCAGTTGCATTACTGCAATGCACAGTTAAAGAACAAACATAACATATTGGATTTAGGATGTGTCACTCTATGTGGCCAAATTAACAGTTATTGAGATATGTATGTATAAAGGCTTGTAACTATATCTTCTTTAATTTGTAACAATTCAGGTCTTTACTATTTATACTGCAACATCTTCATTTATTTGTAATATACATGCAGTCACTAACAGTATAAATAGAAAAAACAAATGATATGGGGTATCTATCCATGACATAAAATCAGTACATGCACAGCAAAACATCATTTTTTATGAAGTTGACAACCAGGTTTCCTTATAGGTTTTTTGTGTAATTTTGAGGTTGTAACCGTTTAAAATTCTAAATCGATATGTTTTTTGAGTAATTTTGTGGTTGTGATTGTTTCAAATGCTAAATCGATGTTTTTTTACGCAAAATATTTCAACAAAATTATGCACCAATCTGATCTGTATTTTTATGTAGAAGTTATAATCAGACTTAATAAAGTCCAATTGATGTCATTCAACAGTAATTTCTACTGTTCATGAATAAGATAAGCATTGTGACATATAGGAAATGTAGGGAAAAATGAAAGAAATTGATTGATTGACGGATAGGAGTTTAACGTCACATTCAGCACAGTTGGCTATTTCTTGACAGCCAGTCAAGCCAGAGGTGTGCAGGACTCTAATCGTTAACAGGCAGTAGTGATACAGTAGTTGAACTACTTAGACCATTGGCCAACGAGGCCCCTAAAGGAATTAAAAAGTCTTATATTAAAATACAGTATTTACAACTAACAGGTAAAAATCTTAAAACTTGTCATCATATACTGTGGAAATTATTAAATAGTCAATTTACAACTATCAATAGTAAAAGATCAAAAAGCCTCAATTTTCGTAATTAAGCAAGTGAAATTATTAAAAATAAAAATAAATAAATTATGCTGTAAACGGTTTCATCTTATTTTTTATTTTATACTTTAAAATATAACATGTTGAATTTTAACAACACTTAAAATTTGTTTTTGTTATTGATAATTGTTTATTTTAGGTTAACCATTAAACTCTTTAGAAAAAGAACATTATTTTAGTAAGCAGCAAGATTAAACAAAATGAAATCCTGTGTATGCAATATTGCTTAAGCATTTGTCCATTTGATAGATGTTATTGATAAATACATGTATACAGTTAATCATAATTGCATACCTGTATTATTAGGGTGGCAGTGTCCAAGTTTATCATATTCTCCAGGGGGAAGGCATAAAGGACAACCATAGTATCCATTGTATTGAATAAAGTCTTGAAATAAACACTTTGCTGGAGAATCACAGGTCAGTTGCAAAAGTAACGCTCTACAAATATGTATTGAGCCTTCTTCAGTTTTGATTTGAATACCTAAAAAAAAAAATTAGAAATGTTCATAAAATGTTTTTTTTTTGTACTCAGGAAAAAACCTTAGTATATATTGTAAAGAATTCTGTGCAACAGTTGAAGATATGGATAGTATTTTTCTGTGCCAGTAAACCTTTTAAGTGTTCATTTCAGGAGAAAAAGAAAGTAATTTTGTGAAACATAATGATTGACTGTTAATAATGAATAATACTTTCTGCACTCCTTGCTATATCATGCCAACCCGTTTATTTTGGGTGGAGGAAGCTGGGTTACAACCTGCAGGTTCAAAATGATAACCCTAATCATTTTAGAAGACATTAAGACACCTGCATTGTTTGGGGTAGTTGTGACATACTTTGTTGTTGTTGTGAGATGAGCAAGACTGAAGTTGTTGTCCTTGTATTTTACTGAGAAATTATACTTAATAAATAGACATCTATCCATATTCCAGGGACTCATCATTTTTGGCTATGGTGAGTCAAACACTTAGAAGATAAAATGTTATTGCTGTATAATTTATTATTTCAGTCTTCATTACAAAAAAGAACAGGAAAATGACACTAAATTTAGATTGTATTGGAACTTTTGTTATAAAATTATGACATATATAGTAAGAATCCTTAAAATCGTATATAATCTTATTATCTCATATTCTTAAGGGAACCAGTTATAATATAGATACTTACCATATTTGTATAGCTTCCATAAGACTTCAGCAAATGGTTTGAAGAACGTTACAAAATTTGGCTTATTTCTTCAAAACCAAAGTCCGCACAAAATCTTGTTTTCTCTTTTGAATCTTTAAAAAAAATATCAATTATTTTCACTTGCAAGGTGGCATTTCATGTGATAAAAAAAACTACTTATTTTTTTCATTAGAAAATATAATCTACAGGAATATGCCAAATTATGTAATAAATAATCTTGCTTATACAATGTACAAATGTATTATGTATACATTTTTGTTTCGGTGCCAGATGAAGCCCACCTCCCCGTAGTGGATTTTCTCGCTGTGTTGAAGACCCATCGGTGGCCTTGGGCTGTTTTCCGCTCTTTGTACTTATCATTTATTTCATACTATTTTCAAATAAAGTGCTAAAGGCAACGCCTTATGTGTCAAACTGTGTCTTCCTCCTAGTCTTATTCCCACTTTTCACTTGCCTTATATTTGGAGCCAATTCATTTATTACAAAGTAGACTGGCCAAATGCTAAAAGATGATGACCTGAAAAAGAAAACAAATTATTTTTTAAGTATTGTGGATTCATTATTATTAGTTGTAAACCAATTTTCGTGGATTTCATTGGTTTAGGTTAATCATGAATTTTAATTTTCAACAGAGTACGTCTTTTCTGTAAGCCTTCATGAAGACGTGGGCAAAACCTCATAATCAAATATACACGATTGGTTCAAAAATACATTTTTTCTTAATCTATGAAAATTGGTATCCACAGTAAAATATGAACATGATTGATTGATTGATTGTTGGTTGCTTAACGTCCAGTGGCAAATTTTTCATGCATATTTAGGACGAGAACAAATTAACAATAAATACAATAGGTAGGTTCTGTAATAGGGGCGTCCGGGATTAAGGTCGGAGAAATTTAGACTGCCACGGGAAATGAGGGTATATTGGATAGGGACAGAAATTTAGCCTTGCAACAGGTCACCTACGGACCCCTCAAAGAGTTGTTGCAAGGGTTCTTAACGTGCAAAGAGCGTGGCACTCTCTTTACACGAGGCATCGGATTTAACGTCCCCATTCTGACTGGACGTGGCTGCAAATTTGTACATCCCGCAAATATGAACATGATGAATCCACAGTATTATGATTTTAAGAATAACTCTTCAACAACTGACAGAAAAAAAACAATGAATAACATTATGAATAACTCTTCAACAACTGACAGAAAAAAAAACCAATGAATAATATCATGAATAACTCTTCAACAACTGACAGAAAAAAACAATGAATAATATTATGAATAACTCTTCAACAACTGACAGAAAAAAAACCAATGAATAATATTATGAATAACTCTTCAACAACTGACAGAAAAAAACAATGAATAATATTATGAATAACTCTTTAACAACTGACAGAAAAAAAAACCAATGAATAATATTATGAATAACTCTTCAACAACTGACAGAAAAAAATAATGAATAATATTATGAATAACTCTTCAACAACTGACAGAAAAAAAACAATGAATAATATTATGAATAACTCTTCAACAACTGACAGAACAAAACAATGAATAATATTATGAATAACTCTTCAACAACTGACAGAAAAAAAACCAATGAATAATATTTTGAATACCCCTTCAACAACTGACAGAAAAAAACAATAAATAATATTATGAATAACTCTTCAACAACTGACAGAAAAAAAACCAATGAATAATATTATGAATAACTCTTCAACAACTGACAGAAAAATACAATGAATAATATTATGAATAACTCTTCAACAACTGACAGAAAAAAAACCAATGAATAATATCATGAAGAACTCTTCAACAACTGACAGAAAAAAACAATTAATAATATTATGAATAACTCTTCAACAACTGACAGAAAAAAAACCAATGAATAATATTATGAAGAACTCTTCAACAACTGACAGAAAAAAACAATGAATAATATTATGAATAACTCTTCAACAACTAACAGAAAAAAACCAATGAATAATATTATGAAGAACTCTTCAACAACTGACAGAAAAAAACAATTAATAATATTATGAATAACTCTTCAACAACTGACAGAAAAGAAAACCAATGAATAATATTATGAAGAACTCTTCAACAACTGACAGAAAAAAACAATGAATAATATTATGAATAACTCTTCAACAACTAACAGAAAAAAAAACCAATGAATAATATTATGAATAACTCTTCAACAACTGACAGAAAAAAAAATGAATAATATTATGAATAACTCTTCAACAACTGACAGAAAAAAAACAATGAATAATATTATGAATAACTCTTCCACAACTGACAGAAAAAAACAATGAATAATATTATGAATTACTCTTCAACAACTGACAGAAAAAAACCAATGAATAATCTTATGAATAACTCTTCCACAACTGACAGAAAAAAACAATGAATAATATTATGAATTACTCTTCAACAACTGACAGAAAAAAAACCAATGAATAATATTTTGAATACCCCTTCAACAACTGACAGAAAAAAACAATAAATAATATTATGAATAACTCTTCAACAACTGACAGAAAAAAAACCAATGAATAATATTATGAATAACTCTTCAACAACTGACAGAAAAATACAATGAATAATATTATGAATAACTCTTCAACAACTGACAGAAAAAAAACCAATGAATAATATTATGAATAACTCTTCAACAACTGAAAGAAAAAAACAATGAATAATATTATGAATAACTCTTCAACAACTCACAGAAAAAAAAACAATGAATAATATTATGAAGTGTTTTCATGCCATGCTATTTAACATATATCTTGTTGTGTCCAGTGACTGTCTAACTGTTTGTATTTTTCCTGCAGAGGCGGATTTCGTGCCCCCCCTTTTTGTGGGAAAATATTTGGTTTATTATATTGGTAATCACTGAAGCATGACTGATGCGGGGCCCCTTCTTAGGCAGTCAGTGCCCCCCGCCCCCCATCCCACCCTTATGAAAATTTCTGGATCTGCCACTGTCCTGTACATGTACAACAAATACCAACTAACAATCAAACCTTGGCAACATATAGAATTGGAAAACCGCTAATGCAGATCAAGATGGTGATGGTGATGATCAGTAACAACTACTAGATATGACCGCATATTTTAATGCATGACTTTCGCCAAATGAGAAATATTATAATATATTTTTGTCCTATAACGTGAAGATTTCAAGACAATTTGTCACAAGACTTATTTCTGACAGATATTTTATAATATAACTAATACCATACCAAAAAAACTTTATTATTATAACATATATTTGAACATACTCTTTCCTGAATAATAAGTAACATTGATAATCATTTTAAAAATACTTCTGGGACCATCCACTCAAAAAACTAAATGGTTGTCCCTGTATCTGGATTGGAATAAATATCCCCATCACATGCAGGTACAGCCGCCAACCATGCGGGGACTTTATAGCCAGTCAATGTCGTTAAAAATCCCCATAAGTAAGATACAGCCAGTTCCAACCGGAGACACCATGAAGCGTTCTTGACGAATATTTATTAATGCACAATTCTGTACTAAGGCCCTGTAGTTTACATGGCAAACTATTACTGACAATACTTATAAAACTTACTTAAATATTGCAACACCTCTGTGTTTCCCAGGAAGCTGATATTATTTGGATTATCAAAGAATCCACCATTACCTGTAAAGTCATCAAAGTTTATAATGAAAACAATGAATTATTTATTATTAAGACTTCCAATTATCACTTTTAAAATTTAATTTTAAGCAAGCTTTGATTGAAATATTAACTTATTGTAGCGGGCAATGGTTAAATTTGTAACGAATATCTGATATCTCACAAGTTACATAAAAAAATGTTGATTATCATTTGCTATATATTAAGCACCCTGTATTCAAAATATTTACTGAATTAAGTAACTAACAATGAAATACAGTTTACACCTTTACTGTACTGTTTTGTTTGTTATAATTTCATGACCTTTAGGAACTTATACATTAACTACCAAATGTTAACCTATTTAATTTTTTTTATTAGAAAAAAGGCAAACGTTGACAGTGAAAGTGAACTGCAATATTAAATGTACAATAACAATAATCTTAACTTTAAAAGTAAAACTTGAAATAAGCTTGCCAGCAATAAATATACAATAATTAACCCAAAAAATATTTTAAAACAATTTTAAGAACTTTTCTAAAATTTTCAAAAAATCAAATACTTTAAGCAAAATTCTCCGATAAAAATCCACTAAAAACATTAAAAATGTTATATTCCTTTCTAATAAAACAACAGCAAAAAATAAAGTTTGTGAGAAAAATAAACCATTCTGACTAAAATTAATGACGAGCAAAATAAAGTAAACATAAAATAAATGTAAGCAATTATTTTCTGTAAGGACCAAACATTTTAGCACTTCCAGAGGTCACGATACGTAATCAATATTGCAAAGAAAAGAGAGACGAAAGATACCAGAGGGACAGTCAAACTCATAGATCGAAAACAAACTGACAACGCCATGGCCAAAAATAAAAAGACAAACAGACAAACAATAGTACAGATGACACAGCAAAGCTATGTGTGTCACCGGCGGATAAAATAATAAATATCACGGATAGTGATTATTAACATCTGCAAAATATTGAAGGCGATGTTCACAAATACCATAAGGAATTACAAAGATCATGTGCAATCAGTTGCCGAAATTTACCAACAGTGTATTTATTGAAAAACGTTCTAATTGACACATGGGTTCTAATGCGCATGTCAGTACATTTCATTCATAAAAATCAAGCAAGGTGCGTGGAGTATTAATGTTACTGAAGATGAATCTTTCCGAAAAAATAGGACATTTCGAGTAAAAAATCAACAACTACTGACAGAATGAAGTAATTTGTCGCTTATTGTGTTAACTTAACACTACACAGAAGTTTTCGTTATCGATTTAAATAACGTGAAAATGAAAATTGTATTCAACCAAGCGTGATAACCGCATGGCCTAAATGGCAGACGACACTTGTGTATTGTTCATTGGATTTTTACTATGAACTGGTAAATTACAAACATGAATTTCAGATTTGTTATCAAATATTCTAATGACGGTATTACAATATTTATAGAAAAATACTATCAATGACAATGTAATTATTCTATTTTTCTAAATTAAATCAAGGATTTACAAATCCTTGATTAAATGATAAAACTTTTTTGCCTCAATTATGAATATGTTTCAGACTAATATAATACAAATGATTTCATACACATAATTGGACGTTCATAGGAATTACAGAATATTGTATAAGTATTGCTTCAATTAGGAATATGTTTCAGACTAACATAATACAAGTGATTTCATACACATAATTGGACTTTCATAAGAATAACTTAATATTATATATGTACCAATTACAACAACAAAAATATATCTTATCAATGTCTAAACAGTTAGATTAGATTTATATCACATGTATCATACATGTATTGTGACATTACCTAGGCTCTGTACTGGTGGAGTCGCTTGCACCGACAGAGTTCCTTTTTAATACTTTTATGTTAGTTTGCAAATCTTTAACATGTATTGTAATGTATTGACTTTAAACATAAACATTTTTGAACTAAATTTCTTTTTTTTTCAAATTGTTTTGTGGTTGTCTAATTGATTTAAACTTCAAATTCAATAAAATTATATCCACTTTTATTCACATTCCATTAACAAATGTACCCCTTAAGATGTTATTATATCTATATCTATAGCTTTTGTTATAACATATGATAACTATCTCAAATGTGTCAAGAAATATAATCAAAATGTGTGTAATCTGTACGTACCACAATGTTCTCTATAAATTTTTCCATCATACACATCTGAAACACTGGTTTGATGTATCTTGTTTCTGTGAAGTCTTTCTGATAAATGTTCCCATAGACCTGCAATACAACATATTCATAAGAATGTGCATAATTGTTACAGGCTGTACAATGACAGTGAGCTATAGTTGCTTAATACTGCTTACATCACATCATTTGGTGTATATTGTATTTGTTGGATAGCAATCTTTCCACTGATCTTTTTTTTATTGCTTATTCTGTCAAAATAAACAATTGACATGATTGATCAATTAAATTGAAGCAGAATTTAAAAATTCTTTATAAGAGTTAAAGACATTTATTTTTTTAATGTAGACTTTTCAATTCATAAGCAGAAGTCTGATAAAGTTCAAGTTGAATATAATTGCAAAACAAATCACATACTTACTTGTACTGGTAATTACTTTCTTAATTCGTGGCTCTAGTGGCAGCTCGACAAAGTATTGGAAGGTATTCCTTTTGCAGATCAAACCAGTATCTAATTGAATGGCCGAATAGAAACCACAATGGGTACAGTAATAATGTCTTGTCATGCTTATATCTTTTTTGCTTAAATACTGGTATAGGTGTTTTATACTTTGAAAACAAGTAGAATTGGGTAAAATCAGTGATATAATCTTTATAACAAAATCAATGGCCACTGCAGACAGCTTGAATACTGTTTTAAGCTGAATTAACATTACTGCCAGGTCATGTAAGTTAATTTGACATCCATCGAAAAGTGGTTGTTTGTCATTGTTGTCGTTAATATCAAACTTTAACATGTCATCATCTTCATCTAAGGAACTTGGAATATCGGGGAAAATATCTTCAATGAAATCCAAGTGATCCACATTCCCAATAAAACTTTCTTCATCTTCTACTAAATCATCAATTTCCTCGCTTTCATGTGTTAAACTGTCTTCCCCGGAATCCCGTAGTATAACATTTGCAGGATCTGCATCAAATTCTACTGCATTGAATGTAGCATTTCTGGCCCTTCTCTTTCTTGCAGATAAGGCGGTTCTCGGCGTTACCGGATTTTCATCATTTAAATACTTAAAGTATTTCTGTTTTTCTACATTTATTATTGCAGCGTCTATGGAAACATCAATCCCGTAGATTTTTGATTAATTCGTGTTGTTTTTAGATATCTAAAAACGCAGTAACGATACGAATTCGAACGCGATCTCGTGTACAACG